GTGTTCTCTCTAGGAACCTCTAGGTCACTGTTTCCCAAACTTTAATCCTCCGGGTATTTTAGACTTCAATTCCCAGAAGCCCCGTCAGCTTAGCCAAGAGTGAGGAATTCTGGGAGCTGAAGTCCAAAAGATCCGAAGGACTAAGGTTTGCGAAACACCGCTCTAGTAGATCTTCCGGAGCAACTCTGTGGTCAGCATCTGGGAGAAGTTGACCGTAGAAAATATGCTGGAGGACCTACAAATGCCTAGAGAGGTGTTTTCCTCTAGTAATTTCCAGGTCCTCCAGCGCAACTCTATGGTGGACATGTGCCAGAGGTTGACCATAGAATCATGCTGGAGGATCTACGAATGCCTAGAGAGGTCTTCTCTTTAGGAATCTCTACATCCTTCGGCACAACTCTATGGTCAACTTCCGGCAGAATTGCGCCGAAAGACCTAGATATCCCTAAAGAGAACTGGTCTGATAAATTGGATTGAGCCTTACGTTTCTTACGGATACGTCACCTACGTTTTCCGGTTTCGCCAGGGAACTGCGTCTTCGCCGTGGCCGTCGCCAGACAAGGGTCGGCCCTCAACATCCACGGACTGAAAGGATCACGGAGTTGCCACAACGGGGCCAGATGGACCTCCGGCTGGAACATCCCTCTGGGCTTCCTTTTGGCCAGCGGTGACCTGGCGTGGGACAAAGACCGGCCCCTCAGCCGCGGTGAGTGCGTTAGCCGCCATTTTGGGACCTTGAGCGTCTGCGTGCCTTCAACTCGCCGGTCAACCTATGGCGACCCCGTTAATTTTTTTATAGGGTTTTCTCAGGCAAGGGATCCTTGGAGGTGGTTTTGCCAGTTCCTTTCTCTGAAATAGAGCCTCCAGCACCAGGTATTTGTTGGCCGTCTCCCCTCCAGGGACTATCCAGAGCTGACTCCGCTTAGCTTCCAAGATAAGTTGAGATCCGGTGCCTTTTAGGGTTATTCGTTGTTTTGTTGTCGCATGCCTTCAAGTCGTTTTCCGACTTACGGCGAACTTAATCGCAGGGTTTCCTTGGCAAGGTTTGTTCAGAGGGGATGTGCCTTTGCTGTCCTCTGAGGCTGAGAGAGTGTGACCCAGTGGGTTTCACAGCCTGGACTTCGACTCCCAGAAGCCCCAGCAGTCAGGAATTCTGGGAGCTGAGGTCCAAAACCATCTGCAGGACCAACGTTTGGGAATCACTGGACTGTAAACTCTCTGAGGCTGAGAGAGTGTTCACCCAGTGGGTTTCACAGCCGAGCAGGGATTCGAACCCTGGTCTCCAGAGTTGTAGCCCAACACTCAGAAACCACTGTGCCACACACACCTTACTAATTTAAATCTCAAAGGCAGGAAGGAGGCCAACCATCCTACGGCATCCTGGGATTTGTAGTTTGGGGGAAAAGTTTGCTTAGATGGAACACTTAGTGCCTCACCAAACTACAAATCCCAGGGTTCCTTAAGATGACACGGGGCCTATACAGAAATAATCCAGCTTGAGGCCATTTTAACTGTCCTGGCTCAGTGCTAGGGAATCATGGGAATTGTAGTTTTTTTTTTCCCCTGAGACATTGAGCCTTCTCTGTCAGAGAGCTCTGGTGCCACAATAAACTACAGTTCCCATGATTCCTTAGCTTCATAATTGTGCGTTATTTTTTAATTAAGTGGGTGCTTTCTCTCTCGTTTTCTCCAGCGGTCGCCGACTATTTCAACGCCAGCTGCGTCCCCGGCGTCGGCGCCGGCTCCCCTCGCCTTTGCGCGCTTTGCCAGGGGCCGAAATCTTACCTCCGGGACAGGAATCACTTCTGCGAGACCAACGGGGACGAGCCGTTTTACGACTCCGAAGGAGCCTTCAGGTGGGAATTTCTTCTCCTCGCAGTTCGGACTAGGCGCTCGGAGCGGAGCCCAAACGACAGATGGGGTTTGGAGTCCTTGATCCAAAACACACTCCAGTTTGAAACCGCTTCAACTGCCCTGGCTCAGTGCTAGGAATTGTAGTTTATTGCGGTACCAGAGCTCTCTGATAGAGAAGGCAAATTGTCTCACAAAACTACAAATCCCATCATTCTGTAGCATTATTGATACTGGATTATTTTCGCAGTGTGTTTTGGACCCTTGTTTGTACCGCGGCTAAACATTTAACAGCTGTCCGCACTGCAGAAATAATCTATTTTTTGACACTGCTTTTAACTTCCAAGACTCAGTGCTAGGGAATCCTGGGAATTGTAGTTTGTTGTTGTGGTACCTAAGCACTTTGGTCCGATCCACATTGCGGAAATAACCCAGTTTGACACTATGGAATGCTATGGAACCCTGGGAACTGTAGTTCGTTGTGACACCAGACCTCTATGATAGAGAAGTCTCACGTTTTCACAGAACTACAAATCCCATCATTCTATAGAATTATTGAGCTGTGGCGGTTCATTCGAATTAGTGGATTTTTGCATATTTTTTATAGTCGTAGTAAAGATTTTACGATCCTCCCTTTTAGCGGACTTGTAATAATTATAACCTTTATACAAAGCTCGTAATAATAATAATAACCGTAACGAGGCGAAATAACCCTCGCTTTGGGGCCGCAGGTGCTTGGCGACCGGCGCGGCGGACGTGGCGTTCCTGGATCACCTGGCGATTGTGGACGCCTCAGGTGAGTCTTATTCCCTAAATAAATCCCCTAAATAAATAAGTATGCCCACGATCCCATCCTTTCTGGTTTACGCCGCCATTTTGCGCAGCCCCGAAATTTGACGGTTTCTCGTTTCCCAGTGTCTCCGGCGAACGCCGTTTCCTCTTTTTTTTTTTAATTGCCTCGTTAAGAGTCAGGCCAAGAAGGCTTTGAGCTGCTGTGTCCGGATGGGTCCACGGCCCCCTTAACGAACTACGTCTCCTGTAATCTGGGACGCGGTCCAGGACGAGCCCTCGTTACCCGCCAAAACTTCCAGAAGATCGCCAGGAAATTTATCACCGTTGTCCAGGTAACTTTTGGGGGCCAAAAGACTTCATCGGACTCACCCAGAATCCCTGACTCAATAAAAGGTTTTCCCTTCCGACTCTAGGATCCTATGTATTCCTCCATGGCAGAAGAAG